CTCCGCCCCGGGGCCCTGTTGCCCTGCAACAGGAGAGGCCACAACAGTTAGAGGCCCGCGTAAAAAAAAAAAAAAAAAAAAAAAAAAGAATCCTCCTGCCAATGCAGGGGACACGGATTCAATCCCTGCTCCGGGAAGATCCCACATGCTGCGGAGCAACTAAGCCCGTGCGCGACAACTACTGAACCTGCGCTCTAGAGCCCACGAACCATAACTACTGAAGCCCACGTGCCACAACTACTGAAGCCTGCGCGCCTAGAGCCCATGCTCTGCAACAAGAGAAGCCACTGCAGGGCTTCCCTGGTGGTGCAGTGGTTGAGAGTCTGCCTGCCGATGCAGGGGACACGGGTTCATGCCCCGGTCTGGGAAGATCCCACATGCTGTGGAGCAGCTGGGCCCGTGAGCCATGGCTTCCCTGGTGGTGCAGTGGTTGAGAGTCTGCCTGCCGATGCAGGGGACACGGGTTCATGCCCCGGTATGGGAAGATCCCACATGCCAGGGAGCGGCTGGGCCCGTGAGCCATGGCCGCTTAGCCTGCGCATCCGGAGCCTGTGCTCTGCAATGGGAGAGGCCACAGCAGTGAGAGGCCCGCGTACCGCTAAAAAAAAGAAAATTTTAAAAAATTTTAAAAAGATGATACCAACAGATGGAGAGATATACCATGTTCTTGGATTGGAAGAATCAATACTGTGAAAATGACTATACTACCCAAAGCAATCTACAGATTCAGTGCAATCCCTGTCAAATTACCAATGGCATTTTTTGCAGAACTAGAACAAAAAAACTTAAAATTTGGATGGAGACACAAAATTCCCTGAATAGCCAAAGCCGTCTTGAGGGAAAAAAACAGCTGGAAGAATCAGACTTCCTGACTTCAGACTATACTACAAAGCTACAGTAATCAAGACAATATGGTACTGGCACAAAAACAGAAATATAGATCAATGGAACAGGATAGAAAGCCCAGAGATAAACCCACACACCTATGGTTAACTAATCTATGACAAGGAGGCAAGGATATAAAATGGAGAAAAGACAGTCTCTTCAATAAGTGGTGCTGGGAAAACTGGACAACTACATGTAAAAGAATGAAATTAGAACACTCCCATACACCATACACAAAAAATACACTCAAAATGGATTAGAGACCTAAATGTAAGACTGGACAGTATAAAACTCTTAGAGGAAAACATAGGAAGAACACTCTTGGACATAAATCACAGCAAGATCTTTTTTGACCCACCTCCTGGAGTAATGGAAATAAAAACAAAAATAAACAAATGGGACCTAATGAAACTTAAAAGCTTTTGTAAAGCAAAGGAAACTACAAACAAGACGAAAAGACAACCCTCAGATGGGAGAAAATATTTTTTTTTTTTTTTTTTTGCGGTATGCGGGCCTCTCACTGTTGTGGCCTCTCCCGTTGCGGAGCACAGGCTCCGGACGCGCAGGCCCAGCGGCCATGGCTCACGGGCCCAGCCGCTCCGCGGCACGCGGGATCCTCCCAGACCGGGGCACGAACCCGCATCCCCTGCATCGGCAGGCGGACTCTCAACCACTGCGCCACCAGGGAAGCCCGGGAGAAAATATTTGCAAACGAATCATCGGACAAAGGATTAATCTCCAAAATATATAAACACCTCATGCAGCTCAATATTAAAAAAAAAACAAACCACCCAATCCAAAAATGGTCAGAAGACCTAAATAGACATTTCTCCAAAGAAGACACACAGATGGCCAAGAAGCACATGAAAAGCTGCTCAACATCACTAATTATTACAGAAATGCAAATCAAAACTACAATGAGGTATCACTTCACATCAGTTAGAATAGGCATCATCAGTAAATCTATAAACAACAAGTGCTGGAGAGGGTGTGGAGAAAAGGGAACCCTCTTGCACTCTTGGTGGGAATGTAAATTGCTACAGCCACTATGGAGAACAGTATGGAGGTTCCTTAAAAACCTAAAAACAGAATTACCATATGATCCAGGAATCCCACTACTGGGCATATACCCAGAGAAATCATAATTCAAAAAGACACATGCACCCCAATGTTCACTGCAGCACTATGTACAATAGCCAGGTCATGGAAGCAACCTAAATGCCCATCGACAGACAAATGGATAAAGAAGATGTGGTACATATATACAACGGAATATTACTCAGCCATAAAAAGGAACGAAATTGGGTCATTTGTAGAGACATGGATGAATCCAGAGATTGTCATACAGAGTGAAGTCAGTCAGAAAGAGAAAAATAAATATCATATATTAACGCATATATGTGGAACCTAGAAAAATGGTACAGATGAACCGGTTTGCAGGGCAGAAATTGAGACACAGATGTAGAGAACAAACATATGGACACCAAGTGGGGAAAGCGGCAGGGGGGTAGTCGTCGTGGTGGTTGTGGGATGAATTGGGAGTTTCAGATTGCCACATATACACTAATATGTATAAAATGGATAACTAATAAGAACCTGCCTGCCGATGCAGGGGACAAGGGTTCGTGCCCCGGTCCGGGAAGATCCCACATGCCGCGGAGCGGCTGCGCCCGTGAGCCATGGCCGCTAAGCCTGCGCGTCCGGAGCCTGTGCTCCGCAACGGGAGAGGCCACAACAGTGAGAACTAGGATACCGCAAGACCCGCAGCCACAAAAAAAAAAAAAAAAAAAAAAAAAAAAGAACCTGCTGTATAAAAAAATAAAATTAAAAAAAAAAAAAAAGCTACCCCACAACCTGGGTTAGGTTTGGGACTCCCGTGTACTCTCTTCGTAGCTCTGACTATTGGTGAAATCAGGTAATGCTGGTCTTCCCAGTTAAAACTATAAATTCCACAAGCAACGTGTTCCTTACTTAACGCTAATGCAATATTTATTTCTCAATTAAATGTATGCATTTTATTCTAAGATAAGCCTCCTGACAGGAAGGGATCATGGATCAGCATATAGACAGAGGCATTTACACTCCAGACAAGCCCATAGATTAGCTTAATCAATCAGTCTGTTTAATTCTCACTAGACAGAGTCTAGGAAAAAAGAGCTTGCTTTTTAAAAACTGGAAACAGCTAGCTCTAACTAGGTGAAATGGAACTGAAATGACACCACTCACACCTTGAGAGTAGTGGTTGGGAGGGAAGGCTGGGTTCTGAAAAGGTACAGTCAGTCAATACAGTAAGAGCAATTAAGAGACCTACATTTGAATCCTGGCTCTGTCTCTTCCTAGCTGTGCCTCCTCCGGCAGAGGTATTTAGCCTCTCTGAGACTCAGGTTCATCAATGGGGAGTAATAATCACATCTACTCCATAAGGACATTGCTAGAATTAACGAAGTAACGAGTGTAAAAGGTACAAGGTACAATGCTTGGCATACAAGGCACACTTAATAAATATTAACTGTTATTAGTTCTCAGGATGTTAACGATAAGTTCTCTCCTTATTCAGGCCCTAGTGGCCCCTCTCTGTGGGGCCTATGTGTAAATGCAAGGAGAGGACAGAAAACTAAGGCGCAGTCCCAGCTCTCCTGGAGTCAATACCGGGCGATTTTGCACCCATGGCAGACAGGTGGTACGCGTTAAGGTAGGAAGAAAACTCCACAAAGGGTCTCACGCTTCATTTAATCTGTAGAACAGTACAGACTCTTCGTCTTAAGATATAAATTATTTATAACGTTACAGGACAAGCGGCGACTCCAGCAATTTAAAAACTAGGTAAGTCTACCTGGTGTTAATTTCTGGCAACAGTCCTCCCAATCTGTTTGTTTTTTTTTTAAAGTCATCCCTGCCCACGTTTCAGTAGACGTGCACCATGCCGTAGAGGAATGTCCAGAACAGGACGTAGGTGAAGAGGCCTCCAATGAGACCTCCTGTAAAGAGAGGTCTTCGCGACTTAAAATATTTGTTCCACCTCCTTCCCGCCTTGAGAATTAAGAGCAGGGAGAGCAGGATGGAGGCCAGCAGGTAGAAGATGAAGCCGTAGAGGCCGGTGAGGCCGAGGATGCCGGCCGTGGCCCCTGACAGCGCCGACACCGAGGTCCGGCAGTAATCCAGGACGGCGGCGTTGCCCCGCACAGCGGCCTCGCTGATGAACGGCGGCCCCTCCCGCTTGGCCACCACAGCGGCCATCGCACCCGCCCGGGCTCGGCCTCTGCTTTCTCGTTGAGCAACGCGGGGCTGCGGAGAGAACCAAGTTACAGGTGGCGCCCGAAGCGTGGCGACTTGGGCTCGCGCCGCCCCTCCCCCTGGGGCTGCGGAGACCTCGCACCCCTCAGTCTCGGACCTTCGAAAGAAGCTGAAAAGGCTGAGGGCTCGGGGTTGCTGGCGACACATCTGCATTTCCCACCCAGACTCCCCCAGTTACCTGGAACCCGGCGGCGGACGCAGTGGCTCGGCGCTCCCTCAGACAGCCCGTGGTACGGATTCCCGCGGCGCCATCTTGCACTGGAGGATGCTGGGACGGCCCAGCCTGCGCAGTCGCCAGGAACTCGCACCCGCCCTCTGGCGCATGCGCCGCGGGCGCCCCGAGCACACTCCACCCCTCTCTCCGCTTTTCTATGCGCGCGCTGGGACTTCCGAAAGCCCGAGAGCGCTCCGGCCGGTGATTGGCTGGAGCATCGTTAACTATTCATGAGGGGGCGGGCCGGGCTGGTTGGCCTTTGTTAACTAGAGAGGGCGAGGCCTTAGGGATTTTCGCTGCGGGCTTCACTGAACGGTGTTTGGTAAACCAGATTGGGGTCGAGATGTCCTACGTCCCGGGCCAGCCGGTCACCGCCGTGGTGGTGAGTGGTCTCGCGCGGGCTCCTCCTCGTCTTGGCTTGACCCCACTTTGCAGATAGGTAAACTGACACCTCAAACACGTTGACAAAGCGTCCAGCCCGGGTCTCCTGCGAACCCGGAGCTAGAGCTCCGGTTCCCGCTTTGCCGGAGCGGAGCCGCGGTCTTACCCAGCCATGCAACAGAGATGGCTGGGACCCAAGCGCCTCCTGAGGAGCCGAGATCGAGGCCAGACCCCGCGCACCAACGCCGCCGCGTTGGGCTCCGCTCAGCCGGCCGGGTCAGGGAAGATTGAGGAGAAAGGCCCCTGCTGTGGGAGTCTGGGAAAGCGCCCACTTCCCGGATCTGTGTCCCCAGCCGGGCAGCCGCGGGTGGCGGGCGCCGGCCCCGACGTCCATGAGTCGCAGCCTCTGGAATGAGGAAGTGCTTCCTCCGCTCCAGCCGGCGCCGCCGCCCAGAGGGAGACTTGCGGGGTGGAGGTGGTCGGGGCCAAAATAGCAGCCCCTCCCCCCTCCCCTGCGGCCTTTCCTTCTCCGACCCATCGACGCCCGGTCCAGAGTGAAGGCTCATACAACTGGTTCGATCCTGCTCCGAACGTTCCCTGGAACCCCAGCCCTTGAGGCAAAGTCCAGGTCCCCTGCCTGGCACTTGGGGCCTGAGGAGACCCTTTGGGGTCAGCTCAGGCCCCTGTCTCCTCCCTTGGCTGGTCTTGGGTGCCAAGTGCTATTAGAATAGGCAAAGGGAGGCTGGGACATTAGACCCAGATACCAATGCCACAGCCGGATGGGGCCTGGAGGCCCACTCTGTGGCTAAGGTGGGGAAATTGAGTCCCAGAGGGAAGTCTGGTCACGCTCAGTCGTGTGAAGAAGCCCTCAGGAAGGAGCCAGGTCTCTGAGAAGAAATGCCTGCTGGACGGGGCACGGGTCGGGTGGAAGTCCCAGTCCTGGGGCCCTGGGACTGGCTGCAGTATCTCAGATGGGCGTGTTGGGGACTCCTGCAGTCAGGTGGTGTGACCAGGGAGCCACTGATAAAGCTGACACGTGAGGGTCAGCTTAGAGCACCAGCTCAGGCCTGGGCTAGGAGGAGACATTGTTGGACCTGCTGACAGCTGTCCTCAGCTTCACCCTGGCTGCACCAGCCTGCCTTTTCCAGCTCTCTAGCTGCCCCAGAGAGAAGTGGTCAGGTTTGCTCCTTAGCTGGATAAAAGGGGTGCAGGTGGGGAACCAGAGAGGGGCAGTAACCTGCCTGACCTCACCTAGCAAGTTAGTGACGGGGCCTTGTCTCCCAGTCCTAAAGCCTGTACTTCTTTCTGATCTTAAGGGTGAGTCAAAGGTGCGCAAAGGTGTGTGTCAGAGGAGGCAGAGGCAGGCCTGGAGGAGCGCACACGTTTGCACATGAGGACCTAGGTCCAGTGGGCCTCAGGTGTCACGCTTCCCGCAACCCCCTTACTGCAGGTCATGACTGGTCCCCGGGCCTTCCTCAAAACTCTAGGACCATGACCTTCCCATTCTTCTCACACTAGGAACATGTCTGAATACGGTGGGTGGGTCTGGCCTCTCCCTCTTGTGTCTTGGATCGGGGATGGCGGTGGAAGAGGCTCCTTCCTACCCTGTGCCCTCTCCTGTGTAGTTAACATTTTGAGAATGTTAAAACCATTTTGGCCTCTCCTCTGAACTCTGGCTCCATAGGCCTGTCTACCCTCTGGACACCTGCCTGGCTGGCTCCTGGCTCTCCAGCTCAACATGCTCCTTCTCGTCTCGGGTCCCCATCTGGGAGATGGTTGTGTTCAGCCAGGACAGGTGGCCAGCCAGGAGCTCGCCTTGGCTCCTTTCGGCCACGAACAGTCTGGAGCCTGTTGATCTCACTTCCTAAGTAGCTCATGTCCCCTGGCCTCCACATACCACCTCTGTGAGACATCTGTTCCCTTACCGACTGCCTGAGTGGTCATTCTAGCATCACACCTGACCATGATCTACCATCAGGCCTGACTCCAGCCCTACTGCCCAATTTCTGAGAGCTCCAGTGGGCCTAGAATCAAGGTCAGGTGGCCAAAATCCTGGTCAGCCCAATGCCTGGTGCTCCTTTGTGAAGCCCCTCAAGTCCAGATCAAGTCACCTTTTGCTTTGTGTTTTTCCTCTTTCTGTTAAAACTGTCAACTTTTGGGGTGGGGCAGTCGGTCTGGCTCCCAGCATCTGGTGACTGGAGGGTGGCTGCTGAGGGCTTTGAAAGCAGCTTGGCACAGATGGGGCCCACAACCTCAGAGTATGGTGGGAGAGCCCTAGGCACCTCCTCCACCTCCTCCACTGCACAAGAGCAGGGCCTGGGACTTAGGGAGACACCCCCTCCCTCTGGGCCAGTCTCCTGGGCCTGCACTCCCTAGCCTTCCTGACCTGGGCTCAGCCTCATCTCACCTCCTAGTTCCGGTCCTGCGCTGTACACTCCAGTCTCATGGACATGTATCCATAGCACCTTCAAGCCTCTGCTCCTGTTCCTTTGGCCATGACAGCCTTCCTCCTTTCTGTGCAAGTTTGATCTCTGCTTTTCCCGAGCATCTCCAGGCTTGCCCTTGACAGGGCTGGCTCAGCAATCTGAGCTGCCTCAGCAGTGTGCCTGCATTTTTTTTTTCAGGGCCTGACCTCTCCTGCCCTGTGTGGTCCCTCCCCTGAGACATAGGCCCACCTTCAGAGCCAGAGACCCTGGCTCTTGGGCCAGGAGGGGCTTAGCATGTGTTGAGAAGGCTGGTGCCTGAGACAGAGGAAGCTGGGAGAGGTTGGGACTGAGGGTTGTGTGGGTGGGTTGATGTGGCTGAGTTATGAGTCTCAACCCCCCAGCCTGCCAGGCTGGTGACCAGCTGGATTCCTGAAGGAGGCCCTGGGCCCCACCCCCATGGCATGGCTCTGAGCCTACCCAGCCGCTTGAGGCTGCTGCAGGGGACACAGACCGCATTTGCTCTCCATACCCACTCATCCCCAACTCGTTTTTTATCTTTGCCAGCAAAGAGTTGAAATTCACAAGTTGCGTCAAGGTGAGAACTTAATCCTGGGCTTCAGCATTGGAGGTGGAATTGACCAGGATCCCTCCCAGAATCCTTTCTCAGAAGATAAGACGGACAAGGTGAGGAGGACTAGGGTCTGGGGACCTCTCTGTGGGGCACAGAGGCCTGAGATGGTAGGTCTCTGCTTCCTGGGCCTTTGTGGAAGGAGCAGACCTCATCTCTCTCAAACGGTCCTCTCTAAGAAGGTCCAAGAAGTGATCTGGTGGGAATAAGTAGGGGTGGGCCTCCCAGCACTAGGAAGCCCTGCTCAGACAGAGCCCGGGAGGCTAGCAGCAGGGGCTGCAGCGTCCATGGGGCTGCTCTACTTTCCCCCTCGGCTGTTCAACACAGCTTGTGCTGGGGGATACTGGGTGCGGGACAGACAGACGGCTAGGAGTGTGCCATGCTGGGCTTTGCTCTGTGGATAAGAGACCAGTGCAGTGACCCCAGTGCTTGACTTGGGCTGTCTCTTTCCAGGGCATTTACGTCACACGGGTATCTGAAGGAGGCCCTGCGGAAATTGCTGGGCTGCAGATTGGGGACAAGATCATGCAGGTAACAGATGTCCCAGAGGAGGAAAACAAGGTTTGGGCCAGAGGGTCTAAAACACTTGGGGGTGGTGGGGCTGTCCCTGCCTGCCTCCCAGAGCACCTGGGAGAATCACCGAAGTCGTTTTGGAGCCCATACTGGCGTCGCCCCCAGAGGAAGCTGGCTCTCCGCTGTGTGTGCGTGTGAGGGGTGCTTGGCATCCCCCAGCCCGGGCGCGTCAGCTTGGGAGACCCAGGCCTCCCAAAGCCCGTCCTGCTTTCAGATCCCAGAAGGTGGCGAGCTGAGGTGGGCTGTGTTCTCTCCCTGGGCCAGGTGAACGGCTGGGACATGACCATGGTCACACACGACCAGGCCCGGAAGCGGCTCACCAAGCGCTCAGAGGAGGTGGTGCGTCTGCTGGTGACGCGGCAGTCGCTGCAGAAGGCCGTGCAGCAGTCCATGCTGTCCTAGCAGCCGCCAGGGCCCCCGACTCGTGCCTGCCCGCCCTTTGTACAGCGACACCACTTCCACACTCTGTCTGCCCCTCGTCCTGGCTTCTGCTCGTTGCTGGGCCCCTGCCTAGAAGGGCAAGAGCTGGTCCCAGAGGCCTGACCTGCCTTCCCCTCTCCCACCATGGGCCCAAAGCTCTGGGACCAGCTCTCTCCCTTGGACACTGAGGATTGGAAACAAGGGCCTGGAGCCGAGTGGGAGTCAGTCCCCAATCTGTGACCAAGGCTTGGCCCCCAGACCCTGCTGCCGGGCCACAGCAGGCGAGCAGGGGGCCCCCCTTCCTGAGAGCACCATGTAGCTGGGAAACACAGGGCTGGGCACTGCCCCCCGTGTCTTGGCTCTGCAGTGCCTGTGCCCCATCCTTTTCCCTGTGTTTCCCAGCGGGGATTCGACTCACTGCCAGAGACGCTATGAAGGTTTGTCCGGATGGAAGCCAGGCAGGCTCGCAGCTCACCCCATTGCACTCCCGCCCCGCAAGGGGTGCGGGCCTCCCCAGGGTTCACCTACTTACAGGATTCAGATGAGGTTTGAGGCTGACATTTCAGGGCAGTTCTCAGGATTGCCATTTTCCTCTATGCCTTTGGGTTTAATGTTTGTATTTTTTTAATCACAACTTTGATACAAAGTGTTTTTATCGTACTCTTTGAAGATGCCAGTTCAACTTTCGAATTCAGCTAATTCACATCTGGGAATTACTCTTAGCAAGGGAACCAGCCTTGCTTTGGTTACTGTGGAAATGGCGCAGTAGGAAGCCACCCCACGTCTTGTGCCCAATAAACAGTGCTGGAATTCATTCATCAGAGGTCTTTGCTGAGACATGAGGTAGGGATATTTGGGGGTGAATTGTGAGAGAGCTTTGGTTGTGAGGCTGGCTGACTTGGCCCCTGCTGCTCTGGACAAAGCCCAACTATCCCCAAGGCCGCTGATGCTGTGCTTGCCCAGGGCCGCCCGCATGGGAATGTCTGGGAGTACCTTCACTGGAACTGGGCCAGGAACCCCCAACTTCCCTCGCGTAACCTAGCCTCAGCTCCTATTGGGGAGGGACCTCATGGACACCAAGGGAGAACATCCACCCCCTAAGACTCTTAAGAGCATTCAGTTTAGCACAGCCAGGGATGCAGCCCCAAATGTTTCCAGGGGCTGTGACCTGAGGAGATGGTGGGGAGCTGGGGAGCACTGAGGCCTTTGCTTGGCCCAGCACTGGCTGCATTACCAGCTCTGGGAATTGTTGCCACTCATGGACCCACCTAGCACTGCCAAGTCAGATTTTTGCAATCTCCCAACTTTAAAGTGTGGTACCCAATCACAGACTGGGTGGCCCAAATAAAACAGGCGTGTGGGCTTGGTCAAGCTGCAGTTTCTGCTTTAGGGAAACAAGATCCTAAGTTCTTTGATACTTATACCTGGCTAGAGGATCTGGAAGACTTCCTCCCCCACCCTTCCCCCACGTGCCCTTAAAGACCTCATCCAACTGCTCACAACCACAGCCTGAGTGCCACGCCCTTGGTAATGCGGACAGGGTCCCTGTGGGACCTACCTGGCCCTGAGCAGGTACGCATCTTGTGCCACCCAACAGAGCTCCCCTGATGAAATGCCGGGTCAGCACACAGCCACCTTGGAATCAGCGAACTTCAAAATCCCACGCATTTCCTTACACGAGTGACTGAGGCTGTCTCCCTAAGCCCCAAGGACTTGGTTCAGAAGCCAACACCCCTGCCTCCTGCATCTGGCAAATGCTCATTGTGCAGAGGAAATGAATCAGGTTTAATTAAGGACAGAAGCCCCTCATGTTGATCTCGTGGTTAACAACTATGAGAGTGGATTGACAAGCTCATGGCATGTACAAGGCACGTCCTGGGACCGGACCGGACCGGACCGGACCCTCCCCTCCCCTCCCCTCCTCCAAAGGAAGGACAACTGCTTGGAGTGGGAAAGGAGGGGCTTTGGGATCAGGTTGGGCCCATAAGGATTGTGTAGGGTGGTCTTAAGTCCTTATCTGAGGCTCCTGGACAGCCACAAATTGGTGAGTCTCAGGTAGGGGTCTGGGGAGGGAAGGGGGCCTGCCCTCCCCGTCAGGGGAGCTGTTTTCACCACCTGGCAAGTCTAACAGGCGTCTAAGGCACAGACTGGTGTGTGTGTGTGTGTGTCCTGTACTCCAGACTCAGGGTAAGGAGCAGTTGGAGGGGCTTGGGGCCTGACTATGGGTAAGTGGAGATAGGCAGCAGCAGAAGAAACTAAGCCACTCACTTCCAAAACATCCCTCTGAAAAATCCAAAAGGGTCGTTAGTGTGATAAGGATCCAGAGAGTATTGGATGTAAGCCCGGTTCTGAGCCAATCTGTTGGGTACCTCAGGGCTCAGAAATACTGTTTCTTTACCAGAGCCTGGTCTGGGCCACCTGTGATTGCAGTCATGGAAGTGGGTTTACGTAGAGTGCCAGGACAGTGAGCGCTCAGAGAATGCAGCCTTCAGAGGAGGCACCCCAAGGCCTAACCCCAAAGTCCTAGCCACCCTGCCACCAGCACCAGCACCTCGGGTCTATTGGCCACGGCACCTGGCTGCTTGGTCTCTGAACACAGCAGTGGCAGCAAAGCACCCTTGGCTCTCCCAGCTGCAAGGTCAGTCCTTCAAGCTGCTTCCACAAACACTGGTTGCTTGGGGCCAGGCCTTTGGCTCCAAGCTCAGTGCTCAATCCTGCCTGGGACGGCTGCCAGAAGCCCTGTGTGCTGCCTGAAGCCTTGAAGAAAACAGAGATGCAGCATCAAGATGCAGGAGAGCCAGATGCCGGGCCAGCAAGGCCTGGGAGGGGCTGAGACCTCTGGGGAGTCTGGGAGGGGCCGCCAGTGGTCTGGCCATTAATCTCGGCACACAGTCAGGTGCCTATCCCAGAGGTAGGTTCCTCCCTGGCCTGGAAGAGTCCTGGACGAAGGCAGGCTGGTTCAAATTCAAGGAGTTTGGCCCTGAGGAAGAGTGCTTCTCCGCATGGAGCCAGCCCGGCACTCCAGATGGCTTTTTCAGCCTTCCTGGTGGAAACTTGCCCACCAGGGCCCAGGGCCTGGGCTGTTTCCGCTGGGTCCCTGGGAGCTAGTTCAGCTGGTCATACCCTGGTTTCTTTCTGTACAAGCAGAAATGCTGGATGAAGAAGACAACATCGAAGAAGATGGAGAAGATGCCGAGACCAAACTTGGTCGGGTCTCCAAAGATCAGCGTCCACTGGTCTGTTAGCAGCCAGAAGGGATGGGATTGGTTTTGGTTTTAGGTTGGCAGCTCCTGAAGCAGCTGGAGCACGTGGGGCTGCGGGGGTGGGGGGGGCGGGGGTGCTCATCTGCCCAGGAAACCACAAATCCTCTAGCTGCCAAAGCCCCGAGGTGAGCCTCACCTTGGGGTCTGGGACTGGCTAGGATTCCCCGAGTGGGGGAGGGGTGGTTTCCAGGAAGCCTGGCCCCGCCCTGTGCCTCTAGCCCGCCAAGCGGGCGGGCCTGCCGGCTGACTCACCGTTGTTGTAGGACTGGAGGAACATCTGCAGGAGGCTGAAGCTGCCCCCAGTGAAGTCCAGAAGCACGTTGCCAATGCTCCAGCCCTCGGTGCTTTTGTAGTAAAAGTTCAAGTAGGCCTGGGCCAGACAGACAGATGGAGGGCGGTGAGGGGGCTGAATGGCGGCCTCCTGCACCTCGTGACCGCGCTCCAAACAAGAGCGGCTCTCATTCCTCCCACTCATGCGCTTGGACCTCAGCTCCAAATACAGTGACCTTTGGGCTCCGACAAGCCTCGACTGAGGGCACGGTTTGGGCGGGTCCTGGGGTCTCCTCTGAGTGCTCAGCAAACAGCCCTCCTCCTCCTTTCCTCGCACCTCCCAAACTCCGGCAGAGGGATGGGGAGCTGCTGCCTCTCCATCTTCTTCAGCCCTCCCTATCCTGGCTTTCCAGCAACTCTGATTTTTCTACTCACCTTCAAATGGAGAATCTCCCCAGACTCAGCCTGGACTGAATTCATGTTGTGCTTATGAACATGGCCTGGGAGTCCGATGGCCTGGTTTGGAATCCCAGCTCCACCATCGGAGGAGCTATGTTACCCTGGGAGAGTGACTTGAGTTCTCCCAGCCTTAGTCTTCCCATCTGCAGAGTGGACTTAACTCCCTCCTCAGCCCTGGTTGGGCTCTAGGGCCTCCACCTCGGACTTCCCAGGTCCAGCCCACTTGCACATCGCCCCTCTTCCTGCTGCCAGTGTCCTCTGGGCTTCTCTGACCGTTGACCTCCCTTCCCACCACCCGGGGGGATGGCTTGGCCTCTGTAGTGGTCTTCTCCCAGTTAGCCACCTGTCAGTTCCCCTTCTTTGCCCTCTCCCACCCTCTTCTGTATTTGCTGCCACCTCTCCAGTCCTGGACAGTTCCAAACATCTCTAACTGGGGCTCCTGCCTCCCAGGTTTCCCAGGTCCAAGCCTTCCCATGCTCAGGGACTGAGGCCCCACTTCCCCCAAAGCCTTCCCCTCACTCTGAAGCTGCCTTCCCAAGCACCCTGGGACCTGGTCCCGCCTTCCTAGCTTCACAGTGCTCCGCCGGCAAGGTCTTCTGTGCCTGTGCCTTTGTGCAGGCTGCCCCGGCCTGGAGCGCCCCTTCTCTCTTGTCCACAGACCCGAGTCCTCCTCATCCTTAAGCGGATGGCTCTGTTTCCATGCCCTCCAGGGTACCGGCCCTGACCCTGGCCAAAATGCTCTCCTTCCTGGGCCCGTGGGACACAAGGCTCCCTGTGCTGGGAAGGCGAGGTAAAGGCGAGGGCCTAGGTGCAGCCTGCAGCTGGCAGTTCTCCACCTGACCCCCTCCCGGGCCATTCCGCCTGTGGGGCAAGCTGTGTTTGACTCTTAGGCTGTGTCTGACCCAGCTCTGAAGAGGACTGTTTGAGTACTCGAGGGAGGGTGCTGAGGGCTCACAACGAGGACCCTGAATGGTGGTGGGTTTCCCCCTCCCACCTCATCTTCCTGGTACCCTGCTGTGGCTCATCAGGGTCATCAGTTGGTGGTAATGGGTGGTGGTGGTAGGGTGGGGGGGCAAAGCTGAAGTCATTAGAAAGGTGGGGCTGGAGAGAGATGGGAGTGACTTGCACAACCCTTGACCCTCAGAGCTGAGCGTGAGTCAGAGAAGCGGCCACTGACTTCCCCGTGGGATTCCCGGCCCCTGGGAAGAGCAGGTACTGGTCACAGCCGGTTTTCTGTGAGGCCCCACTCCTGCTGGGCTTGCCGGCCTCCTCCCTGTAGCTTTCCATCCACATCTCACCCCGGCCAGAAGCTGCCCCAAGGGAGCCGGGTCCAGGGTCCGTGTCTCATCCCTCTCACGCTAACGGCCAGACCCTGGAGGTCCCTGTGGAAAAGGCGGGCAGACCCTGGAGGTACCTGTGGAAAATACTTGACCAGCGTCACTGCCAGCTTGATGTAGGAGAAGCAGAAGAGAAACTGCAGCCACGTGGTGGCCCTGACCACAGCCATGATCAGGGCGATGAGTGTGAAGAGCCAGGAGAGCACGAGGAAGCTGATGGCCAGCCAGGACACCCGCTGGTTGCCTCGCTGAGGATGAGACAGGGAAGGGGAAGGGATGGGTGGGGTGAAGAGAGCCCACCTTGTCACTATCAGGGTCTCTGGTTCCATCCTCTTGGACTTGAAGAGCCCGTTTGCTTCCTGTTCCCATGTTGCAGAGCCCACCAGGAGTGAAGGGTGCTGGGGACACGGCCCCCATCACGCTGGAGGCCTGGCACCTCATCTCGGCCCAGGCTTCTTCCACGACCCGAGGGAGCCTGATTGGCTCTGGAATCTCTTTTCCAAAAGCAGGCCTCCTCATCTAACCTTCTCAGCAAAGGGTAAGAAAACCTAGAAGATTCGTGAAGGTGGGGGCCAAGCAGCTCTGGCTGGCCTTGTGTGTGGGAAGGGAACTCCCCAAGAGAAGTGATGTACCCACAGGGAAGTGAAAGGAAACAGTAGCATCAGCGATGCCCTGAAATATGCACTAACTCACGACGTCCTCCCCTGCTGAGACAGCAGATGGCCCTCCAGCAGCACAGCTGTACCCGGGCTCCTCAGCCCGGCCCGCAGAGACCCCAGGGCCTCTCCTGCTCCCTCCACCACCACCGTGGCCACCCCATCTGCTCGCGGTCCCTCTCGCTGCTCCCTGGCCTTCACAGTTCTGTCCACCGGCAGGGGTGCCCCACCCCATCGCCATGGGAACTTCACTCATGGCTCGGACCACAGCTCAGTGCCCTCTTTCCCCCTCCTCCCTGGCTGAGTCGTGGGGCCCATGAGCTACCTGTGCTCTCCCTGCCCGCTCAGCTCTCAGCCTGCTGGGTCATCACTGCCTCCCTCTGTGTCCCTCACCCCAGACCTGGGGCGGCCTGAGGACTTGGGCTTACGGGGTGTTCCCTGTGCCCAGCAATGGGGTCTGGATAATAGGCCAGCAGATGTGAGTGAACGGACACATTTCCCTTCTGGGGGTTTCCACGTCGCCTGTAAAACGGCAGGTATGGGCAGCAGGTGCTGCCGGGTGTTGGTCTGGGCAGCGCAGGCTGCGGCGGGTGCCAGGGTCACTGCTCACCTCGTACAGGAAGCACTGCACCATGATAACCAGGGTGAGGGCGACCGCGTGCAGGCTGAAGAAGACGTCATTACTGTCCACGGGGTTCACGCCATTGGGGTATTTGAGGAGAAACTGCTCCTGTTTGGGAGTGGGGAGAAGCTGGGGGGTGAGGGGTGGCCAGACCACCGGACAACTTAGACTGGGCTGCAGGGGTGAGCAGGGCCGTACCTTGATGGAGGGCACCCAGAGGAGGCCGATGTTGAACACGCTGTAGGCCACGAAGCCCATCAGGTTCAGGGCCACGAAGTCAAAGCTCAGACCCACGACACTGAGGAGGGGGGCGGGGGGACGGGGAGACAAAGCAGAGCAGGGGGTGAGACTGGGGGCCGCCGGGGGCTGGAGGAGACAGAGCTCCCAGCACACAGGAAGGAGGGCCTGGCTCCCTCAAGGAGAGCACAGTCCTCAGGTCCGTTTCCATGCCACCACCAATGCCACCGAACCCCACCCTCCTGGGATTGTCTGGAGGCTTCCTGCAGAGAGGAAGCACCTCCCTCCCTGGTTCCCAGCTCAGCAGCCCCTCAGAGGCCCACGTTCCTTGGTGGCCTAGGTGTCCTTGGTGCATGACGCCTAGGCCCTTGTCTCTTTTTGCGGTACGCAGGCCTCTCACCGTTGTGGCCTCTCCCATTGCGGAGCCCAGGCTCCGGACGCGCAGGCCCAACGGCCATGGCTCACGGGCCCAGCCGCTCCGCAGCATGTGGGATCTTCCCGTACCGGGGCACGAACCCGTGTCCCCTGCATCGGCGGGCGGACTCTCAACCACTGCACCACCAGGGAAGCCCTGGGCCCTTGTCTTTAAAATCAAGGTGGGCCGGCTTTCGTCTCTGAGGCCGAAGGATCCAACTCCTGCACTGGGGCACAACTTGACACTAATTCCTCCAGGGCTCCGTGGACCAGGAGCCCAGCAGATTCAGGTGGGCTCCTCCCACGCAGCCCCTTCTCCACTTCCACTGAGAAGCCCCATTTTGTTGCTTTTGCAGGGAGGGGCTGAATTGCACAAGAGACCAAATGCCCAGCACTGCAAGTCCTACGCAGGCGCTTAGAACTTTCACATCAGACCACTTTTAAGAAAGGACAGGAAGAAAGAAGAGCAGAGGGGTAAGTCAGAACCCAGGCTGCCCACAGCCTCGTTGGAATGCCCATCCTACCGGCCCCAGGTGAAGCTGCACGTGAAGCTCCGTGGGTTACCTTTTCCGCCTCCAGTTGGCGATCCCCTGCGGGTAGAAGGAGATGGACCAGGCCACAAAGTAGATCCAGCCGATCACCTGGTTTATGATGCTGACGACATTGCTGTGGATCACGGAGAAGAGTATCCTTGGGCTGGAGAGAATGTGGGGACCGGGATGAGCTGGGGCTGGACTTCTGGAGGAAACCCCACGTGCCAGCACCATCCCCCTTCTCATCATTTAGGGGCCACACGGGCGGAGGCCAGCCTACCTGGTCTGGTTGGAGTGATTTCCGTGCAGATAAGTGGTAACTTGTCCAACATTTTGAGACGTCACTTGAAAAGAGGAATTTGTCACGCCGGGAGGGACCACAACCTGTTAGGAAAACTGAATCAGGTCCAGTGCCCCGTAGTTATTGGGACCCCAGCTCCAGGCCATGCACTAGGGAATGGAGGGACAGGTCACACACAGCCCCTGCCTTCTAGGAGCTTCCTAACAGGAGGGAGAAATGTTGGACTAATCAGCCAGCTGGAACCCCCATACATCAGTGTCAGACTCCCCTGGCTTATCTCTGAGGGATGGTGGGAGGGCCCTCTTCATCTCACTAGCCATTCGATCTCAGGCAAGTTATTTGAGCTCTGATCTCGGTTTGCTTATCTGTAAAAGGGGATAACACAAGTGTCTACCTTACAGGGTTGCTCTGAACGACATAATGTCCATAAAGCTTATGGCACCGAGCCTGACACGCAGCAAGCTGTGAAGTGTTTACCATCACTACTACCCTACGATGACTGCTATTACCTCTACTTCCGTTACTACAGACGGCTCTTCCAGATCCACAGAGGGATGTCTGCCCCACGCCCAGCCTGGCTGCCAAGCGACAAAACAGAAGAGGTGCACACACCAGACGCCTGGCAGGGAGAACATCCTTACCCTCATTTCTGCCCAATATTCATAGAAAGCTCTACTCCAAGAAACAGTACTTGGAGGCCTACCTGCAACTTCTGACCTCCCAATCATGCTTCCTGATGCTCTCAAATCCCGAGTGTGGCAGGGAGTGGGATGATACCTTTACTGAACCACGCTGTCCCCCATCTCTTTGTTCCCTGGATGATGCTTCAGGCCCCGCCTTCCACCCATGTTGTGGGCACCGTGAGGATGTGGCTCACTGGATGGCAGTGGCTTCTTCAGGGACCCTTGAACACTGTCTTTCTGCTCTTATCCCCAGAAATCAGGGGGCTTTGGCAGGACAATTGAAATGGTGTAAGTGGCTGCTGCAAAGCCTGGGATCCAGTTCGTGGCCAATGTCTTGTGAGCTACGTCTTCATGACACATACTACTCTTGGCTCTTTTACTTTCCCATCCTCATTTTTTCTTATTTTTAGCAGATTTTCCTGGCAACTGTTGTTTGCATATTTCTAAGTGGCCACCAGGTCCCTTTTAGAACTAGGTAAGAGGAAAACCTTCCAATTGGAAATTAACTGATACAAGGCAGAATGAAATCATAACAATTGCTTTAAATTTTTTTATTAATTAATTTTTATTTTTGGCTGTGTTAGGTCTTCGTTGCTGCACGTGGGCTTTCTCTAGTTGTGTCGACAGGCTTCTCATTGTGGTGGCTTCTCTTATTGCAGAGCATGGGTTCTAGGCGTGCAGGCCTAGTAGTTGTGGCACGTGGGCTTAGTTGCTCCGTGGCATGTGGGATCTTCCTGGACCAGGGCTCGAACCCGTGTCCCCTGCATTGGCAGGCGGATTCCTAACCACTGTGCCACCAGGGAAGTCCTGCTTTTAATTTTTTTAATCAATAAACTTTATCTTTTAGAGCAGTTTTAGATCCACAGCAAAATTTATTGCTATCTTTTTTCTGAGCGCTTTCTTTCTATGTGCCAGCTGCAATCCTAGACATTTCATACTTGCTACTGCTTTTAATCCTCACAGCCCTGTCAAGGAGACTTTATTAACCTTCTGTCCACAGATGAGGAAACTGAGATGTGTCGGGGTGATGTACCTCACCTGTGGTTCACAGCGCAGGTTCCTAGACCGCCTGCCTGACCCCCAAGTTCTACCCAGTGGTTTCCAAAGGCACAGGGAGTAGACAGGAGTAGTTAGAGAAAGGGATGGGTCAAGGAGGCATAAGCCTGGAAGAGTGGGTTGGTGCCCAGATAGGTCATTCTACAAACGGATCTGCCACCATTACACTAAAAAAAATAAAAATAAAAAAATTGAACTAGGGACTTCCCTGGTGGTGCAGTGGTTAAGAACCTGCTAACGCGGGGGACACTGGTTCAAACCTTGGTCCGGGAAGTCCCACATGCCATGGAGCAACTAAGCCCGTTCACCGCAAGTAATGAGCCTGCGCTCTAGAACCCGCGCGCCACAACTACTGAAGCCCGCGTGCCTAGAGCCCGTGCTCCACAACAAGAGAAGCCACCGCAACGAGAAACCCGCACACCACAACGAAGAGTAGCCCCCACTCGCCACAACTAGAGAAAGCCTGTGCACAGCAATGAAGACCCAATGCAGCCAAAAATAAATAAATAAATAAATAAAATTAAATAAAATTCTTAAAAACAAAAATGAACTATAACATAGGTGCAGAAAAGTGCACCTAGCACCCAGATCAAGAAACGGAACATTTCCAGACCCCAGAAGCCGTGTTCTGTTCCCTTTTGGTCACCGCTGATCCCAAAAGGAAACTACTACTTTTTTTTTTTACTATAGGAATATTTTACTTATTTATTTGTACAGCAGGTTCTTATTAGTTATCTATTTTATACATATTAGTGTGTACATGTCAATCCCAATTCATCCCCCCATCCCCGCCCCCGCTTTCCCCCCTTGGTGTCCATATGTTTGTTCTCTACGTGTGTGTCTCTATTTCTGCTTTGCAAACTGGTTGGGAAACCACTCTTCTAACACCATAGATTTGCTTTGTCTGTGTTTGCACTTTAATCATACAGTCCAGGCTTTTTTTTTTTTTTGGCTTAATGTTATGCTTGACTTTCACTTATTTTTATTTATTTTTAAAAATTTTTTATTTTATTATTATTTTTTTTTGCAGTACGCGGGCCTCTCACTGTTGTGGCCTCTCCCATTGCGGAGCACAGGCTCCAGACACGCAGGCTCAGCGGCCATGGCTCACGGGCCCAGCCGCTCTGCGGTGCGTGGGATCTTCCCAGACCGGGGCACGAACCCGTGTACCCTGCATCGGCAGGCGGACTCTCAACCACTGCACCACCAGGGAAGCCCTCAGTTATTTTAAAAAGATTAATCTTTCTCTTAGACGTTTGGCCCTTAAACTAAGTGACCAGTGTCCTTTCCTCAGAGTCTAAATTTGATCTGTGGATCAAGCCAGACCTCTGAGGGCTAAATACCACAACCTGCTCTTAGAACCAATGGCTTTTCTTACCCTGCAGCAGGCCTCATATCCCGGGGCAGGAGGGGGAAGTTGTGGGAAATGGCCCTGTCTATGAGATGAGACTCCCCTCTCACTCAGGTCCTTTAGGTAGATGCTCTTTATCTGATCATGAGTCAATACTGTTTGCTTGCTAGGGGGCTCAGAGCTGATTTGCAGCTCATTTCTACGACCACACAGGGCCTCATGCTGAGCCTCACGGCTATCAGTTTCATCCCTGTGTTCATCTTGTCTGGTTTCTTTTTTCACCCTACTGATTTGTTTTAAAATCAGGTTGATTGGTAATTGGCTCAAAACCTTGGTAAGGTGGAAGCAGGGTATGTATTAACAGATAAATGTATAAAGACTATAAATAGTCATCACTATTATATCAGACAGCCTCTGGGTCTCTGGCACTGGTTTTTCGAAATAACATTCATCCAATGGGATCTCAGAACAGTGCTTTGCAGACTTTAATGTGAACCCAAATCATCTGGGGAATCTTGCTTATATGCAGATTTTTAATCAGTAGGTCTGGGATAGGGCATTTCTAAAAAGTTTTAGAGGGGAGGGATAAATTAGGAGTTTGGGATTAACATATACACACTATTATATATAAAATAGATAACCAACAAGGACCTACTGTGTAACACAGGGAATTACATTCAATATTTTGTAATAACCTATAAGGGAAAAGAATCTGAAAAAGAATATAAACATAAAAGAATATATATACATATGTGTATGTATAACTGAATCACTTTGCTGTATACCTGAAACTAACATAACATTGTAAATCAGCTATACTTCAATTAAAAAGAAAACAGGGGCTTCCCTGGTGGCGCGGTGGTTGAGAGTCCGCCTGCCGATGCAGGGGACGCGGGTTCGTGCCCCGGTCTGGGAGGATCCCACATGCTGCGGAGCGGCTGGGCCCGTGAGCCATGGCCACTGAGCCTGCGCGTCCGGAGCCTGTGCTCAGCAACGGGAGAGGCCACAACAGCGAGAGGCCTGCGTACCGCAAAAAAAAAAAAAAAAAGAAAAGAAAAGAAAAGAAAAGATTTTAAAGCAGAGACAATGCTCCTAGTCCATGGATGCTCTTTGAGCAGCGATGTCTTAAAAAACCATCTTAAGAATTTCTTCTACATCCTCAGAACCATTTCTGCCTAAGATTTCTTACCATCACCTTCCTAACTCCATCTACATAGCATAAAAAGTCCATCCTCAAAGAGACTAACAAAGTCCAAATCTGAGATTTCTAGAATAATAGGACAGGGGCAGCCCACGGTATAAAAACAAGGTGGCCTATTTACACAAGCACTGAGTTAAAATGTGTTTTGTTATCCATTAGTTTTCTGCCCATCAGTTATGATTCATTACTTACTTCATCAGGGAGCTGAAGGATAGTAATGTTTTTTGAACGAAATGTGATTTCAAAAGTGATCACCAAGGTTGCATTTAAAGGACGCCTGTGGAGGACAAGAGTCTGGTTACTGCTGAGAAGTTGTACTCTGTGAGATCTCAACCAGCCCTCTGGATTTCACAGCAGGCCTGTCATTTCTCAAGAAATTAGGGTGAGGCACTGCTATGTGCTTGGCCCTGGGGGGTTGAGAGGTGGGGTCCCTGTGGCCCGTGAGAACACGAGAAGGTGGGAAACTGGCTGTGAATGCCACATGAGGTGTCCAGAGGCCGACAGGACCATGGCATCTGCTCTGGTGGGAAAGGCTTCTGAGAAGGGTTAGGTGGCAGGGAGCAGCATCCCCAGAAAGCAGTGGGATATGTCTGAGTGGGAGCAGCCCATAGGGACCTCAAGTCTGGGCTCAGAGTTAATTTGGAAGGTGGTGGAAAGCCGTTTAAGGATTCTGCAGAGGGAAGAGTTGTGCTGAGGGGTGATGTGTCAGATTCACAAGGTGTCGATGTGCAGAAATGGCAGGATCTGGGGATGGAATGCGGGTCTGTTAGGGAGCCTTGGTCCCAAAGCTTTGGTTTGAGATCAGACGTCCCAGGAGAGGTGAGGAAAAGGGAGGAGGGTAAAGAGAAAAAAATAACAGGGTTCCAGATCTTCATCTTGGGGAATCCTCATGGCTGGGAGGCAAGAGTTGGACAAAGCAGGGAAGGATACAGAGGAGGTAGGCTCTCTGGCACGGTCTGGACTAGGTCGGCACCCTCGTGTGGGAACCAGCAGCTAGAGAGACTCTCAGACAAGCCTCAGCAGGAGCGCTGCACAGTGGGATCCACCCAATGCAGTTGGATGTGATCTCAGAAGCACTGCCAAGCGACTTAGCTCCTTGCCCCCAACCTCCAGGGCTCTCTTCAAATATTTCGAACCTTGGAAAGGACCACTTGGAAGTGTGGTATCAACTGCTGGTCACTCAAGGACTCTTCTCAGCTGGGAAAAAGGCTCACGTGTCATCCTCCTCCCACTGGAAGCAAGAATTCAGCGGTTGGGGAGGGAGAGACTTTGGGACCTCGGTCTGCAGCCTAGGGCCGCTGCCTTTCTTTCCCTGGCTCGTCTTAAAGTGAAGAGGCAAGGGTATCACACTTAAAATATGAACAGACTGAGCCGGGGGTCAGCCCTGACCCAGCTGTGGGGCGAACGAGCTGGGCTGAGGACAAAGCTGGGCCTGGGAACTTACGGGAGGGAGATGCTGACGTTGGTGGAGCTTCCATTTTCCAGCTTCACGGTGGGAGGAACAGAGAAGTTGACCGTGGACTCTGGAACAACCCAAATCAGTGATGAGTCATGAGGTCAGAGAACTCAGGCCCACTGAGACGCCGGGAGGAGGGCCCCTGACATTTGAACTTGCGAAGTCTGATTTATAACCACCTCTATCCCCTAGGCAAAGACTCTGAGATTCTGAGGGGCTAAGTAAGTGATGGGACTGGAAATGTCCTTGTTATGCTCTTTCCCCTCCTGCTGCCAGAAAAAGAGGGAGACACAGGCCTGAGGAGATCCTGTAGCTTCCTCCTCTCCCACCGATGAGCTCTGAGGGTCTGTAGGAGTCACCCAGAAATAGAAACCATGGAGCCCCAAAACTGGTCCCAGTTTTTGGCCCAACTGGCCCAAAGGAAATCAAGCCACAATCCGGGACTGGAACACATGGGCTTAAACCACCTCTTCAGGTGGAAAGCACAGTGGCTTCCTCTGTTCATGGAACTAAACTGGCCCTGCAGAACCGGTCCTGTCCCTTCCTGTGGTCTCAGAGACACCTGGGGCCCAGCTAACCTGTTTCTAAAGAACCGCCCTTGGGCTCCTGCACAAACCCAGCTCACCCCATTCATTGATCCCCTTCCGGAGGCTGACTCTGCTGGGGACGCGGGAGACTGGTGAACAGTACACAGTTTCACTATGGGAGATTTCTTCTTGGCATTAAGATGCTAACTCAGGAGGTAGACAGATAGGCCTCGGGGGTGAGGGAGGAAGCAGGTTTGGGAAGCCAAACACTCCAGGGCAACTTGGCCGCAGACCAGGAGCAAGTTACCTTCTCTCTGACGTCTTCCTGTGTTCGCTGGGCAGCCCCAGCACCCCAGGTGCTCTCAGTGCCCCAGGCACGCGTCTATTTCACCTCCCTCACCTGAGGGCCTTCGCAGCCTAAGGTGTGATCATGAACGTAGACTGGGCCGGGACAGGTGTCCACAGGGGAAAGCAGGTGCTCAGTTTGATGAAGATGGTCTTTGTGTGGGGAGTGGCTACAGGTGGGGCCCAGGTCTCCCGCTCCCTCCATGTCTCCCCAGACCCCTCAAAGGCAGAGACGAAGAACTGAAATTTTAGATGCTCTGGTTGGAAGGAAACTTAAAAGTTCCCTAATTCAACCTCCACTGTCTGAGCCCCTTCTCAGTCCTCCTCCCTAGTAGTTTCTCTTCCTCTGTCCGGACACCTCGGGGCAGGGGAGGGGGCGCGGAGAGTAACCTCATCTCCTCCAAGGGAACCTGCCAGCCTGAAACTTGCACGTCAGGGCCTGGCTCTGTGACCCGGGACCTCTCAGACCCTACCTGAGCCGCCTTGTCCAGGCTGGCCTGCAGGTGGATGCAGATGCAGGCTCTGGCCCATGCCTGCAAGTCTCCAAGTTGATTCCCACAGTCCGTTGAAGTCCCCACCCTGGCCCTTGGGAGGCCAAGCTGCTCAGAGCAGAGTAGGATGGTCCCACCCACCACCCCCTCCTTAGATGCATCCTTGGGGCCTGGAGGCAGCTCTGCCCCTCCTTGTTCATACTCACCCCTCTCATACCAGCCCGAGGCTCTGTTCTGGGCTGCACAGCTGAGGTAGGAGGACTTAAAGGTCCCTGCTGTTACTTTCTACCTAGATCCCAAGGACCGCATCAGATAAGCAAGACCCTGCCCAGGACAGGGATACTGAAAGTGATGCCAGGTAGCCATCCACATTCTGGGTCCCTGGGGCTCTGCTGGGACTGTGGTCAGGGTGAGTGGGAGATCCCATGGGCTTAACTCTTCCAGACTTTGCATTTTAAAAGAGGAGGTTGTGAGCTCTCAGAGAACCAGGTCAGGGTTCAACCACTTCCCCTCACTTAGCCCCAAGGAAGATGGCAGCGCTCAGCAGCTGAGAGACTGGGCTCTGGGTCACACAGTTCCCTCCTGGCTCTGTCACTTCCTAGCTGTGTGACCGAGAGTAAGGTACTTAACCTCACTGAGCCTCCATTTCCTCACCTGTGAAATGGAGAGCACAGCACTCCCTCCCTCCCAGGGGCACTGTGAAGATAAAGCGTGGTGACGTCTGTGATGCAATTTCCACACAGCCTGAGTGCGAAATAATTGCTGGTGACTATTCTTGTCATCATGTAAACCCTGCAGGACATTTTTTAGCCCAAGATGGGAGGCAGTTAGGAAGCTGGCATCATATCATATCCTGGGAAAGCACGTTTTAAAGTTTGCCCCAGGGCAGGAGTCTCTGGACACCACATCCGAATAACCAAATGAGTTTTGGTGAGACTACCTGAAGGTTCCCCCCAAGGAGAGTCTCTGCATTTAAAAAACTAATCCTTATTGGCACATCTCCCACTATGCCTCCCACCCGACGCCAGCCACTCTGCTGTACTGTGAACTCCCATTCTCAAATTACTATAACAGTGAGAGATGGGCAACGTGATCCCTATTTCGGATAGAAGAAAGTGGAGAAACCCATGAGGGCAAGTGTCCTGCTCACACAGCTCAGAAACGGTAGAGGCAAGATTTAAACCTAGGCCAGCCTGGTCCAGAGCGCAGGCCCTTGCTACTAGGTGGCAGCACCTCAAGATTCCACCCAAAGAAGTCAGGGGCAAAAAACTCTGAAGGCAAATGATCTCATCATTGGTCCTCTATTACCACTCCCGAAAGCAGAGACGAGTTTGGGAGAGACTTCTACCCTCTCTGGGCCTAAGTCAGCCCTCTGTATAATCGAGTGGTGGCAGTTGGATTTGTTCTTCTTTTCCTAAGGCAATACATGAGCATGACTAATGGAGCTTTATTTAAAGCGGGCCAAGGCTCATGTACACACTTTTGGGCCTTAGTCCCAGACAATATGATCCGGCAGGTCTGGAGTGGGGCTCTGGCATTCGTATGGAAGAACACCGGACTCCATGGTGTTCTTTCTTTCTTGGAAGAAACCTCTTCTTTCTCGGAAATTGCTTACCCACAAGGTGTGACTACAAGGTGACATGACTGATTGTTTAACAAACCTGGAAGAGCTGATCAGATGACCTGTGTTTTCTCAGAGGCTCAAGAGGCCAAATAATTGGAGCAGTGCACCCACTGCGCGTGGCTCTTGGGAAGCTTTGGCAAGGGTTTGCACAGTTTGTATAAGGTTAATTTGGAAACTTTAGTTGGGGATTTTAAGATGTATTTGATTTGTTTTTGGCTGCGCTGCAAGGCTTGTGGGATCTTAGTTCCCTGACCAGGGACTGAACCCGGGCCCTTGGCAGTGAAAGCACCAAGTCCTAACCACTGGACTTCCAGGGAATTCCCAAGATGTATTTGATTTTTGACAACAGCCAGATGATCAAAATAATGGGCCTGGTGTCCAAGGAGGCGCTACACAGCTTTTCATGGAAGGAATTTCAGCAATGTTTGGGCAGTGGAGAATCGATGGAATGATACAGGCCTCTAAGGGCCCTGCTCTGAAGGTCAAGCCTCACAAGGGTACACAAACCCTGACGTGTTTTTCGACAACCAGCCTGAATTCTGTGAGGCCCCTAGCCCTGCTTCACTCTGGTTCCTCGGTCCCTGTCTAAGGGAAGAGCTTTCTTATCATACCAAGCGATGCCGGGCAGGCTCCTCAGGTGTCTACCGCTTGGCAGAACCAGGTGCAACAAGGTGGCCACCTCACCTGCTTCTGCAGCACCTCCCAGGACCCATAACTCCCTCATTGAGGTCCACAGGGTGAGAACACAAGCTCTTCTCTACAGATATTATCCCAGATTTTCAGAGCTCCACAGTTTGATGTTGGTGATACAGAAAAGGGAATAGGGACCCTGGAGCAGAAAGCTAATTATCTGTGGAACCATCTGGCTCCCTGTAAAACTCCTGGACTCCAGACCTCGGTCTGCTCCACTCACTGGGTGCCCACCTGGCCAAGGGGCAGGCAGACACATGCAATCTGGATGGTCCTGAACTTTTGGCGGCAAACAAGTCAGGCTACTTACTCCATTTCCCTCTTCATCCATTTCTAAACTTACCACATTTCTCTATGAGCTTCAGGGGAAAAAGGATAAAAATAACCAGCCACCTCCTTATCATGTTCCTCGATTTCAATGAACTATAGGAAGAAAAACAAACAGCAAGGGAAGTTCAGGTTAAAGTTGGATCAGCTCAGCAACAAGTGGACAATAAGCCACCTGGAACCACGGCACGGACAGCTCATAAAGGACTTCCACTTCACACCTGTGACTTCAATGGGCTTTGTGTCACCAGCTTGGAGAAGGGGACCCCAGGGAGGACTTATCTTTCTTTGACATGTGGGGAAATGGGCTCAGAGAGGCTAAGTGGGTTGTGTAAGGTCCCACCCTGAGGAAGTGGACAAATGCTGAATTTTTCCCTCTTCAACTGCTTTGTGCAACCTAGTAAACAGAAAGAAAGAATGCAGCCTTATTGGCTGGGGGTTCTTTTTTCCAGAAGATATTAAAACTGTGGTCAGATATGTGACTTTGTGAACCTATAAACCTTAAGGAAATTAACTTCATTTCCTGTCCTGGGATAAGCGTCTATGGGTTAATGCCACCAACCGACCCTCGATTAGGACTTTTTCGTTTAACAAGTGTCACTTCTCTGGGACCGGCAGGGATCATTCACAAAGGGGACCCAGTGTGGGACAAGCCCCAGATCAGCCCCATAGCAGCTCACTGGTTAAGTGAAGGAGATGGGTTGCTGCGTACCCATAACCCCCACGCACAACAGGTGAACCAAGGGTCAAGATGGGGCAGGTGAGCGTAAATATCTGTAACTTGGCTTCCACATGCTGCTTCAGTGTACACTGCTCTGCCCCGCCACCTGTGACAGCCTCTGGGGATTCCTGAAGACTGTTGGAGAACCATGAGAGGTCTGTGTGGAAACATCCCTGCCCCCGCTCTGGTTTCAGTTTCCCCCAAAGGCCTCAAGAACTTCCTGATACTCCCCTTCCTCGAGAAAGTCTCCCTGACTGCTTCACCCTGCCTGACCCCCACTGCCCCTCCGTCTCCTCCAGGGGCCTCTCTGCCTGCTGCAGCTCCCCCGATCATTGGGTCTTATCTCAGGAGCTTTCCCACCTGCCGGCACCCATCTCCCCACTCTCTGGCCTCCTCTGGGGGCCTTGCCCTTGGCGCTGTATCCCTGTGCTCTCCGGCCCTCTGCTTTCTGTACCCTGACCTGCGGGAAAGTGCTCTCCTGTGTATGTGGAATGAGCCCCCTCTCATTCTTGCCACTCTCTGCTCTTCACACTTGCTGGTGTCCTCAAGCTCAGGATTCAGTTTGCTCCCCAGGGCAGAGTCTGGGTTTTCCTTGAGAACTCAGGCGCAGAATCAGGCCTAACCGGCTCCTCTCTCATTCCACAGGATTGGAATGTAGACTGAGGAACTCAAACTCTTAGACAGCAGAAGTTCCCTGGTCCTAGACGCTGACACACCTTGGAGGAAAGACATTAGGACAGATATAACGAACTTGAGAGATATGTGGTCGATTACAATGTTTGAAAAAGATCAAGTTAAAATTATACCCAGGGACTTCCCTAGGGGTCCAGTGGGTAAGACTGCGCACTCCCAATGCAGGGGGCCCGGGTTTGACCCCTGGCAGGGGAACCAGATTCCGCATGCATGCCGCAACTAAGAGTCCGCATGCCGCAACTAAGACCTGGCACAGCATGCATGCATGCGTGCGTGCATAAATAAATAAAATATTAAAAATTATAATTATACACAAAAACTAGTGTTTTGTGAATGCTACGAGGTAGAAATGGAGAATTTCACCACAATGGGCTCTGTCTGCCATGCTGCTCTTCCTGTGTAAGTTCTATTGATATATTCTGGGCCTCACTCAGATGCCACCTGCTTCAAGAAGCCTCCCACTCCCAATCCCCTCCCAGGGGCAACCTGGGGTCAGGGGTTTCCTGTGGTAGCTCCACTTGGTCAGGTATCCGGTTAATCCTGTCACCTGTTGTACAACCTGGAACTCCCTGGATCTTCTCTTGGAGAAGTAAAACAGATAGTGGCAAGGAATGTGTGCCCTGGAGAGTGACTGCACAGGTTTGAACCTGAGCTCCCCATTTATTAGCTCTGTGACTCTGGGGTGCTGCTTAACCTCCTCAAGCTCCAATTTCCTAAAGTGAAAACGGGGACAGTGGGAACTAAATCATAGGACTTAAATGAAATGACACCTTAATCACGATTTGTGGTCCTTTTATCAGCAGTATTAAAATTTCAAGGGGAAGGGATTGGTAAGAAAAAAAAGGTTGAGAAACCATGATGCAAAGGAAATACAACTGTTGCCTAGGGCACTTAGCAGGCTCTCACAAAGCCTAGGTTGTAATTTTCCTCAACATTGTTGAAAAAGGCAGCTTGAAAGGCCCGGAGGGCGGGGCCGGGTCTCGTCCTGCCCACTCCCCCGTAGCCCAGTCCGGCGCTCAGCACCCCAGAAGGACTTCCTGGCGTGGTCCTCTCAGTGTCTCCCCTCTGCCAAGCAATCTGCAAACTGCGACCCAGATTCAGGCAGCAACTAAGCAGAAAGCGGGGAAGGGACGCTAACCTGCACTGGAACAGAGCCTCCCACACCACCTCGACAGCCCGGTGTCCCTGCCTCCACTCACTACCACCCGAGCCCTTCAACCCGGGGGCTGTCCGGTGCCTCGAGGCCGGGACTAGTGGCCGGGGAAGGAACCCTGGCGCGGCTGAGGGAGGCTGGATGCGCGGCAGGCTGCCCAACTGACTTGATGTGCCAGTCTCTAGGCCTCAGGGGGTCCGCCTGGGAAATGAGGCGGGGAGGCTGTCGGGGCCGCGTCGGCTCTCACCTGAGGTCCTCTAGGCTCAGAGGACCGACCAGACGGGACGCAGGAGCCGCTTCGATGTGTACCAGCTTCCTCCGGCCGGCTTGACTTAATGTGAGGCGGACCAGAAGTCACCTGACTCGAGCCACCTGATCCGCGGAGTACAGGTCTCGGAGCGATACACCCTGGGAGCTGTAGTTTTCCCGCGTCTCAGCGAGACAGTTTGGGGCTGGGGAGGAGCGGAGGGGCTCAGGCAACATGGCAGGCTCGGATATGTGGGAGGGTTAAGTCACTATTAGGGTCACAGAAGCTCTCGCGTCCCCCAGCGAGACTCGGGGTATTGGTACTTTGGTGAGCAAGGCCGAAGCCTCGGGCCGCATCGCAAACCCTGCCCTGCGGGTCGGGGCCTGTAGGTTCCGCCGTCCACCGCGGCTCCGCCTATAGCCGGGGCCCGTCGCTCGGGTTGCGCGGGACTCGGCCTTCCTCAACCAATGGGAAGACGAGAATTCGTCGTGTTGAGCGTGGCTGGAAAGATTGGCAGGCGAGGCCCCGCCTCGGCGCCTCTGTCCCGGGTGAAGTGTGCTGGAAGGGGCGCCCCGGCCCCAGACTCAATCGCTGTCATGGCTGCACGGTCTGTCACTCTCGGCATCGACCTGGGCACCACGTCTGTGAAGGCGGCCCTGGTGGAGGCCGCGCGCGGCGACCCTTCCGGGTTCGTGGTACTGGCGAGCTGTGCCCGGCCTGCGCGGGCCGAGACGGCGGCCCAGAGCGCGGCGGCGGGGCCCCAGGTGAGGCAGCGCCCTGGAGCCTCGCCGCCTCCAGGAGCCTCCAGACACCCTCTTCCTTCTCAAAGAAGTCTCCCTGACTGCTCCAGCCTGCCTGATCTCTGCCTGCCCGCTGCAACTCCCTCGATCCGATAGATCTCCTCCCAGGAGCTTTCCCACCTGCTGGCACCGATCGCCCCACTCTCGGGCCTTTTTCGGGAGCCTTGACCTTGGCGCTATATCCCCGTGCTCTCTGCCCTCCACTTTCTGTATCCTGACCTGCAGGAAATTGCTCTCCTGCTTATGGAGCGATCTCAGGCCGCCTTCTCATTCTTGCGGCTCTCTGCTCCTCACATCTGCAGGTGTCCTCAAATTCAGGATTCAGCTTGTTCCCTAGGGCGGTGTCTGGGTTTTCCTTGAGACATCAGACGCAAAATCCAGCGTAACCTGCCGCTCTCTCATCCCGCAGGAGTGGATTGTGGGTGGAGGAGCTCAAACACTTGGACAGCAAAAGTCCCCTGGCCCCGAAGGCTGAGACACCTTGGAAGAAAGACGTCAGGACAGATAGACATTGAGAGATACCTCAATTAAAATGTTAGAAAAAGGTCAGATTGATAATTCTATATGAAAACTAGTGTTTTGTGAAAGCTACAATATAGAAATGGAGAATTTCACCACAGTGGGCTCAATTGCATGTTGTGGGCTCAGAAAGGATGTCAATCCTCAGAGATGGATTCCATTAATTCCCTGAAAAAGGTAGCTCTATGTTCAGTTCATTGATAATAGAAATTAATATCAAGGAACTTTCTGTGTATCCTCATGACTTTTTTTTTTTCCTGGATCTCAGCTTGTTCTTACAATTGAAATAGATGACGTCTATGGCCCCTTCCAGCCACAAACCTCGATTTTCTGAGCCAAACCCCACTCCCAATAGCTTTGTTTTTCACAAGCTCTTGCCACATACCTGGACTCAGTCCTTTAGGGTTCAGAGTCCATCTTGCTCAGAAGCATTTCAGAGGATAAAGATTTCAGGAGCACTTCGCATTTTCATAGAGCCTTTCAAAATTAGTTTGGTTGGGGCATTTTAGAATGATTATCTCACTTCATGGACCATGAAGTGGAGGCAAAGTCAGCTCTGTGGGGGTAAGCAGCAGAGCTGCGATTACAGGGGTGGGTTTTAGGCAGTACCCTCTTCTCTTGAAATAGGGCCACTTCTTGAAAACTACTTTCCCCACTTCCCCCAGTGTCCAGCACAGTGTTCTGTGTTTACAGGCACGCCCAGTCCTCCACACCTGTCTAAGGAGGGATTTAGGGGAGGCCAGTAATAGCCCCCCTTGGATCCTCCACATGTGTGTTGTGCTCTGGGACAAACTCCCTTGTTGTAATTTCACCTATAGCAGGATTTCTTCACCTTGGCACTGTTGATATTTGGAGGTTGGATGATTCTTTGTTGTGGGGTGCTGCCCTGTGCGTTGTAGGATGTTCAGCAACATCCCTGGCCTCTAACCCACTGCATGCCAGTAGAACCTTCCTCCCCAGCTGAGACATCCAAAAATGTCTCCATATTGCCAAATGCCCCCCGAGGGGACAAAAATCACCCCTGGGGTAAACACTACTGATCTATAGAAACACCTGGTGGCTCTGTTCTTTTCTCATGTCCATACTTCTCACGCTTTAGAAGCATTGTGTACTCCACGGTCAAGTTTGGCAGCTATGTGGAAGGTCAGACTTTTAGCTCTTTGCAATTTTAAAATATCAAGATTTTTGAGGGAAGCTCTGTGACCCTTTCTGTGTTATGGATTTTACCTCTCTGGGCCTCAGTTTCCCCATCTGTAAAAAGGGGTGTGGGGGAGGAGGGTTGAACGAGTTCCTAAATTCTTTTTTCAAATCTGAATTTCTAGCATTTGATCTGAATGTAGACCACTTGATATTCTGAATCAAGGAATGGGGGCAGCGCCTTTCCTGTGACATTGTGGGTGTATCCATTGTCTGTCCAAGAATTGCTCCCCCATCACACTCACCACTAGAACTCCCCACACACTGAGTGCCTCCTTGCCTTCACTGTCCTCTGGCCTGTTTCACTCCTCCACTGTCCTTACCTACACAGCTCACCCACCCTAGGCCCATTTTAAACAGCAGCTCCTCTGTCCCGCTTTCATGTACCATCTGGGTTCATGCCACGTGGGAACTCTTTAAACCAGCACTGTGCAGTGCAAATGTGAGCCACACGTGTAATTTTCAACTGTCTGGTAGCCATATCAAAAAATAGTAAAAAGGAACCGTAAAATTAAGTTTCATTGCTTATTTTTTTAACCCAATGGATCCAACCATATCATTTCCATATGTAATAATCAATATAGAAATATTAATGAGATATTGTGCGCTTTTTTTCGTACTAAATCTGAAATCTGGTATGTAGATTTCAATTCAGACTAGCTGTGTGTAGCTGATGACTGGCGTGTTGAACAGGGCAGGTGTAAACAAATGCCTCTTCCCTGCTTCCTTCTTCCTTTGCCCGCTGTCTTATTTCTTCCCTCCTGGGGGATCATGCATAGCCATGCATCTCCTCTCTGCCCCATCTTTTACTGCCCGCTCAGTTTTACTGTAGTCTCTCCTGCATAAAGGATCTTGTTAGGATGTAGGGTTGCCTCCTCAACAAAATGCTGTGTTCCCTCTCCTCTCCTTCCCCAACCCTACCCCTCCTCACCTTTCTTCTTTCTACTCCTTCCATCATGTTTGTTTGGAGCCAAGAACTGCCACAGCCCAAGGCCAGCAGGCTGACAAATGAAGGCTTAACTCCGAGGAGGGGAGGCCTGCACTGCCCCCGGAACAAATGCAAGCTCTCAGGGCATTCGGGAAATGTTTGCCAGATGCAAACACTAGGGCTGGTCCTCAGGTGCTTTAGTCCAGGAAGCCTTTCTTGCCTACACCTTTCCTGCTGGGCTCCTCCCTGCTGTGTTCCATCCTTCCTCTACCCCAATGCTCCATGTGCCTTGCCAAAGACCTTTGCCTTATTTCTTCTTGCAGCATGGTCTTTCTTGCCTTCTCCTGTCCTGCTGGACAGTAAGCTCCTGTAGGGCAGGGCAGTGCTTTTCTCAGCTCAGACTCTTCCACAGCAGCGGGCAGAGCCCAGGCCATTGGCTGAACTTAACCCACAGAAGCGCCTCATCTGTGAAGGGAGAAGTGGGACCTCGCCCACCACATTCCTACTCCAGGCCCCGCTGGAGGTGGTGGAGAACCCTCAGGCCCACATCCCCTCCCTGAGGCCCCTCAGCAGGTCCTGGAAGTGACCTCGGTGGAATTAGGTGGGCAGCCACCACCCAGGAAGTCCCTGGCGCCTCTGCCCTCCTTCCCCTGCCTGTGTGTGTACCTCTGTCCAACGTATCCTGTTCTGTTTCCAGGGACAAGAGCAGGATGTGAGGAGAATCATCCAGGCCCTCCACGAGTGCCTTGCTGCCCTTCCCCGGCAGCAGCTCTGCAAGGTCTGTGGCATCGGTGTGTCAGGACAGATGCACGGAGTCATGTTCTGGAAAACAGGCCAAGGTATGCTGAGCTTGGGGGTGATCACGTGCTGTTAACAGTCACCCTGTGATCTCAGGTGGCCTCGGCCTGCAAGCGGTTTGAAGCAGGATTTTGGTTCCCCTGGCCAGAGACTGAAGTTAGGCTGCAGCAGTGAGAGTGCTGAATCCTAGCCACTAGACCACCAGGGACCAGCGGCCAGTGATAAGGCTCTAGCCCGTCGGCTTTGTAGAAATGAATTTCCACAAAGAGACAGAAAGTAGTGAAACAAGTAAAGTGTTTATTAGGAGGAAAAAGGGTACGTGTGGATAGACACACAGGCAGGCTCAGAGGGGCAGAGGCTCTCAGAGGCCCGCGCCCTCGTGGTAGTTTGAATCACTTATATGGGGCATTTCTTCTGAATTTCCCTTGGCCAATCATCTTGCTTTGCTTGGCTCTGAGTCCGTATTTGGTTTATCTCAGGGGCCTCCCCTGTGTGTACGCACATCTCTTAGGCAAGATGGATTCTAGCAAAGAGGGCTACGGGTAGGTTGACATCACCTACTATGGAGTGGCACCCCTTCCCTTTTTGACCCCCGAGGAGCCTTTCTGTGCACGTGTAGTTGGAAAGGGCTCCTTGATCTCGAGAATGAGGAATATGTGGTCTCTTTATCTTTTATCTGGGCAGCCCTCAACTCTCTTCACTCCGCTATTACCTTCATCTTGGAGTATCTGTCCGCAGGGGACAGACTCCAGCTGCTCGGCCTGGGGCCCATCTATCTCCTGCCTCCCCTGGAACCAGAAAAGGGCTGCCAAGGGCTCTCTGTGAAGGGTCAGGTTACTCTGCTGCCTCTTGCATTTTGTGTACATCCTGTCCTCTTCAAAGGATGTAATGAACTGAACTGTCCACTCACACATTATTCATGAACAGGGAGAGGAAAAAGAGTGAGTTCTCTCTGATTCTCTGTTGGATTCAGTGGAGTGGATTTTCCACAACCTTCCCTTTCTTTGTGCCAGTGTCTTGGAGCATCAGTGCCAACAACCAAGAGATTAGTGTAGCTGTAGATTCCAAGACGCAGAGGAAACTCTTCTGAATTTAGGCATAGTTTTTGTTGTTTAACATAATCACAGATATTTGTGATTTTTCAATTCCAGGGCACATCCTTTTCATGGGCACAGTTGCTAAGCATCATTTAGTTGGTGGTCTTCTTTCAGGAGGTCTGCCACAGTGCAGAGGTGGGTGGCCTGTTCTGTTTGGCCTCTAGGAGGAGTATTAAGCCAGCAAAATAGCAGTGAGCACTTCGCATGCCAGGTGCTGAGCTAAGTATGTTACCTGTGTGATCTCATTGAATTTTCCCAACACCCTTATGACGTGGGTTACATTACTCTCCCTCTTGTGCAGATGAGACCCGGAGGTTCAGAGAGGATAAAATAATATGCTCAGGGTCATGTGGCAGCAAGTAGCAACTCCAGCTTTTCTCTTTTTTAATTGATTAATTAATTGATTTTTTTTTTTTTTTTTTTTTGCGGTACGTGGGCCTCTCACTGCTGTGGCCTCTCCCGTTGCGGAGCACAGGCTCAGTGGCCATGGCTCACAGGCCCAGCCGCTCCGCGGCATGTGGGATCCTCCCGGACCGGGACATAAACCCATGTCCCCTGCATCGGCAGGCAGACTCCCAACCACTGTGCCACCAGGGAAGCCCAATTAATTAATTTTTATTTTTGGCTGCGTTGGGTCTTTGTTGCTGCATGCGGGCTTTCTCTGGTTGCGGCGAGCGGGGACTTCTCTTGTTGCGGAGCACGGGCTCTAGGAGCGTGGGCTTCAGTGGTTGCAGCACGCAGGCCCAGTAGTTGTGGCTCGTGGGCTTAGTTACTCCACGGCATGTGGGATCTTCCCGGTCCAGGGCTCGAACCCGTGTCCCCTGCATTGGCAGGCGGATTCTTAACTGCTGCGCCACCAAGGAAGTCCTGTGACTCCAGCTTTTGAACTCAAGTCTGTCTGACTTCAGACACTGAACTTTGAAAGTCTCCCGGGAGGACCAGAGTCACAGGAGGACACACTAGCTCAATGAAGGGAGGAATTTCCCAACAGAATGTCCAAGGAAGGATTAGGCTCCTGTAGGAAGTTGTGAGCTCCTGTTATGGCAAGTGTTAAAAAAAATTTTTTTTTTAATTATAGAAAGTTCGACATCAACATAAAAGTAGGGAGAACAGCATTATGAACTGACACATACCCATCATCCAGCTTCAAAACTATCAACTTTTTACTGCAGGTGTTTTAAGCATAGTATGGATGGCTACTTTGCGGGGTGGAGGCTGTAGTTAAGGAGGTTGGACATTGGATTCACCCCTCCTCTGCCTAGAGAATCAGTGATTCCGATTCCCCTGGGCCAAGTGAGTGGTGACTTGCCTCTCGGTGGCTTGACAGGGGTCTGGTGGTGCATCCTTTGATCAGTCCCCATGGGGGGCCTGGGTGATTGCCGAAGCCCACCCAGGCTATCCCCCTCCTCCTCTCCCTTTGTCTGCCTGTCGTCAGGCCAGCTGGGACCACGGGAGCTGCTCGGCTCCAATCCCCAGCAGGAGCCAAAGGCCAGTTCTGGGGTTAGATCTGACCTCTGAGGGGGAGTCTAGGTTGTAAAAGTTTTTAAACTCCTTAATTTTGCATTAACGAGAATAAACGTCCTTTTAATACTAAAACCCTTCCCAAAGAGGACAGCAGAGATCTAATGATTGTGCTCTGGTCACACGCCTTCCTTTCTGCCCGTCTCCTGGCCTCTGTAACGACCACACAAACCATCGCCCACATCGGTGGAGAGAGCTGCTTAATATTTCATGGGGCCCACCTGCATGCCTTCTTGTTTTGGTTTCTGTTTCTGGGAAGAAGAGCCACTGTTTGACGCTGATACCTCCTTAGCAGAGTGAGTGAAATCATATTTGAGATCAAGTCGTTCTGCTTTTAACAGCGGCTGTAATTCAGTTTGGTTTCGGGACCTACAATATATGAGGCTCTGTGCTGGGCCCCGCGGGAGACATAGAAACAGGATGCAGCCCTCGTCTTCCAGGGCTCGCTCAAGGCAGTCAACACAGACAGGCACCAGTAACCTGAGCGGAGAGCTAAGTGCTTCCACGAGGGCGCCAATTGGAGGAGGAGAGAGGGAGTGACTAGTGTCTTCTGAGAGGCCTGTGGTTACACCAGTTTCCACATTCCATTTTCAGGCTCAGTAATAGCAGGAGAGAAGTGAGGATCATAAAATCAAGCTAAAAGGCCAGCAGCAGACAGGGAGAAATTATTCACTAGTATATAGTAGACAAAGGACGAATATGGGTGCATATAAAGAACAAATAACGAAGAAAGGACCAATGGCCCTGTGGGAAAATGGGCAGAGGAAACCAACAGGCAATTCCTAGAAGAGGAAATACAAATAGCTAATAAGCATATGAAAAGATGCTCAGTGTCATTAGGAATTAGGAAAATGCAGAGGAAAACAACAACAAGAAATCATTTTCCACCCACTGGATTCTAAGAAAGCAGTTTGAGAATGTCAAGAGTTGGCAAAGGGGGTGGAAAATTGGTTTTTTAAAATATCACTCCTGGTAGTATATATTAGCTTGGCCGTTTCGGAGGGCAGTTTGGCAGGGTGTTACAAATAAGAGAGTTGGGCTTCCCTGGTGGCGCAGTGGTTGAGAGTCCACCTGCTGATGCAGGGGATGCGGGTTCGTGCCCCGGTCCGGGAAGATCCCACATGCCGCGGAGCGGCTGGGCCCGTGAGCCATGGCCGCTGAGCCTGCGCGTCCGGAGCCTGTGCTCCGCAATGGGAGAGGCCACAACAGTGAGAGGCCCACGTACCACAAAAAAAAACAAAAAAGAGTTATAGCAACTACAGGAAGAAAACTTCCAGCTGAACTAATATGAAACCCATTTGCTAATTGCTGGGGGTGAGGATAAAGCTTTTAAATTATACACTGTAAAAATAAATTACTATGACTCAGTGGCCCTACTACTTAAAATCTGTTCAGGAAAAGGACTTTAACATGTATATGCAAAAGAGGCATAATCATGGTCTCTCATGGCATCCTTGTTTATTGTAGTGAAAACTGTGATGTTTCCCCATGGGGGAGTGGTTAAATAAATGTTGGTACCCCACGCTGTAGAATGGTATGCAGTAGTTGAAAAGAATAAGGTGCATTCACATGTACTAATGTGGAAAGAATTCCAGGACATGTTGCTGGATGATAAAAACAACCACTAGAAAAATACATACAGTATTGTACTGTTTGTTTTTAAAAAACAGACAAAACCAAAATATAATAAAACCCAGCCCAAATCAACCAAACCAAAGAGAGTATGTTGTGTGAGTATAAAAACCCAACAACGGGACTTCCCTGGCGGTCCAGTGGTTAAGACTCCGCGCTTCCAGTGCAGGAGGTGCAGATTCGATCCCTGGCCAGGGAACTAAGATCCCACGTGCTGCGCGGCCAAAAAATAAAAATAAACTCTACAAGTGCTAACAGTGACAGGAAGGGGGCTGGGACTCTGATGGGGATGGTCAAGCAGGCCTTTTGCTTTATCTGTAATATTTGAACATTTTATATTGAGAATGCATTCACTTATCACTTGTATAATTAAAAAATTTTTTAAATTATTATTATTATTATTTTTTTGCCAAAAAAAAGAAGAAAGTGAGAGAAAGAACATCCATCAGGCCAGATTCTGGAACAGACTGTCTGGACTTGAATCCTGCCTCTACCACTTAGTAGCTATGTGATCTTTGACAAGATTTTTAAAGCTTCTCTGAGTTTCATATGTCTTATGTGAAAATGGGGATAAATATCACACCTATGTTGTAAGGCTAATATGTAGATTTAAAAAATTAATATTTTTAAAGTGCTTTGAACAATACCTGGTACATGGTAAGAACTCCGTATTTATTTTATAACACAAACAAAATAAAGATAATAGTCCTAAAAGTAAAAAAGAAGAAAAAGGGGCAAAAGAGTTTTGGAAGCAGATAAAAGTGTTGAAGAAAAAACTGCAGATTTCCAGCTTTAGGGCTGGGATAAGAATCCCAGCTTTAGGCAGAAACGTAGTTGTGAGGGTGGACCACCTCATCCCCAGCTTACTCCCTCTTCCTGGGTGAAACTTAATAAGATTCAGGTGCATATTATCTGGGACCGCTTCCCTGCTCTTCTTTTTTTTAAATGATTTTTATTGGCATATAGTTGATTTACAATGTGTTAGTTTCTGCTGTACAACAAAGTGAATCAGTTATACACATACATATATCCAGTCTTTTTTAGATGCTTTTCCCATATAGGTCATTACAGAGGGATTGAGTAGAGTTCCCTGTGCTATACAGTAGGTCCTTTCTTTCCTTTCTTTCTTTCTTTTCTTTTTTTTTTTAAGGCTGCACCTTGGGGCCTGTGGAATCTTAGTTCCCTGACCAGGGATTGAACTGGACCCTCAGCAGTGAAAGCACTGAGTCCTAACCACTGGACTGCCAGGTCCTTATTAGTTAGGTCCCTATTAGTTATCTATTTTATACATAGCATTGTGTATATCTGAATCCCAATCTCCCAATTTATCTCTCCCCCACCCCATTCCCCCCTGGTAACCATAAGTTTGTTTCCTACATCTGTGACTCTATTTCTGTTTTTTTTTTTTTTTTTTTTTTTTTTTTGTGTCGGACCCGGGCCTCTCACTGTTGTGGCCTCTCCCGTTGCGGAGCACAGGCTCCGGACGCGCAGGCTCAGCGG